GGATGGAACCTAAAGTGATCTTTTGTGCTATATAAACCACTCTGCTTTCTCAGTCTTCAATCTGTCCTGGATTTACATGGTAAGTTTCTATTAGAGTTAATTCGTTACAAACGGATGCCACTTTTTCAACATTTCGGCTTAGTTTTTGTCTCAGACAGATTGTTTGTGTGTTTCATAGTCAGGCTATGGTTTCAACAGGGATTTCTTTCAGTGTTAGGTGCTGTCAGTCCAGAGGTTGTATTGCAGTTCAAAAAAAAAAAAAAAGAAAAAGCAACACAACTATTTGAATCTATTATTTGTTATAAATTAGTGACATACATTATCTGCTGCTGTAGTAAATCATAAGCCCAAACAGAAATATTGAAATATAGATAAATATATGAATGTGTGATTGAATTATATAGAAATATAGCTACGTTGATATATAGCTTTCCTTATATTTCAGTTGTGGTTCATGTCCGTTAATTTGCAAATTCTGAAAGCTACAGTGCTGTTATCCTCACTTTCACAGACACGTATTAGTGCAAGAACATGTGAAGCAATTTGCTTCAAGCCAGGAGCAGTCCAGTCCTGGGGCTGCTGCCACGCCTTCTCCTGCCCCTACGTGTAAGACTTCACATTCTCGTCACCAAAGAGTGAAAAATACGACAACTGCTTCCTTCAGTGCAGTCTATGCCTTCCTAACAGAGATTTTCAGAGGCACAGGGAGCCATTGAAAGACAAACCAAGTCTTCCTTTGGGAGCAGGGCTAGGTTAATGTGGACTCCCTTCAAAGCTCTCCACGTGGCGTTTGTTTCATTCTCCACAGGAATATTTACTTTACTGCTTTCAGAATACCTGGGGTGGGGGATTCCAGTGCTTTATCTGCCAAAGTGAGATGCCTGTCAGAGAAATCTCTACGAATACTGGAGTATCCTTTCTGTTACACGTTTATTGCCGGGTCAGACTAATAGTTGTCTGTGCTTGCAGCCAAGGAAGTGTAGTTCCCTGGAATCCAAGGCTCACACCTTTCATCTCTGAGGGAATCTCATGGCTACCCAGGACAGGCGATTAGGGAGCTTCCAGCTAAAACAAGAAAAGATGGGACCTTCTGCAGGCATCTGATAAGTATGAGCTCATGTAGGAAGGAAACACCTTTATGTCCTTGTAAAGGATGCCTTGGAGAGCAACACATCCTACAATACTGAGACAGTGTAAGCCATGGGCTTATGCAGATGCATAAAATTTCATTGTTCCTTGTTATTAATTTTTATCGCTAATAGATGAAAGAGGATCAGGCGGTGATAGACATATTAGGAAGGATTCAGAGAGGTAAGAATACCCTGTCTTGCAAACCAGCTTCTATCTAGTGAGTGCTGAACTTCTCGCTCTGACTGGTGTAAGGGATGTAGGGCAGGCACTCAAGCCTTTGGCTCTGGAGCTTTCTGGAGCACTGCAACAGGAGAGGACGCATCCTCCAGGAGATCTCCGGATGGAGGATGTTCTTCTAATTCCACCAAGGTTTTGCTTTAGTTTATGATTTTCTAAAGAGCTCTTCCACCTAGATAATTAAGACATGAAAGTTGACCTCTTGTAAAGGCAGTCGTAAACAGATAGGGGACTTCTGTCCTTCTCCTCTCCCTTCCTGCCATCAGCTGATATGGAAATTCATCTAACATTGTATTTAATAATAACATTACAGGTTGGTCAGGAATAAAACAAAGCATGACTGAATGAAAGGGTAACTTCAAATTGTCCTGTCCCAGAATTAGGACCATCAGGGGAAAAATGTATTTTTATTAACAGAATGAAACAGCTTATGCATAACTGGAAGGAAAATACAGTCAAAGCTCAAAAAATTAGGAAAACTGCTCATGAGATGTTTTTGGGAAAAGAAAATCTAAAAGATACATTATTTTCTACAGAAAGTCTTCCAAAAGAAGTTCATAAAACCATTCGGGTATGTAACTAAAGAACCTGAAACAAGATCTGGAGACAAAAACTCCTGTGTAATGTTTTCAGGAAGTCAGCAATTAGAACTGGTTGGATAACTGCTATTTCAAGTTGCTTTTAATTTTAAGACCTGAAACTGCTTTTTACTGAAAAATGAAAAGACAAAGAATTGGTGTGATATGCTGCTAAAATATGCCCCCCTAACACAACCAGGGTGTTTTATGTGATCTATTTAAATATTTTTTATTTTAAAAATAAATTGTAACAAGAAATTATTTCTAGTTTTAAATTGTAATGATTTTTTTTCTGAAAAGAAGCCGACAGTGGTGATAGTGACATAGGTTTGCAGAGTAACTTGAATCTGTATTTGCATCAAAACTTTCGTAGTCTGAAACTTTAGCCTTTTTTCTACTCTTAATGCAGAGATTGGCAGTACCGCAGGGAAGTGAATGAACAGGAAATATATATGTATTATGTCCTCCATTACTTTTTTCTGCATTAAAAAATAAATATGTTTCAGAGTTATGAGAAGTTGCAGGAGCTATAAAGAATTGAGAACGAACAATTCTCAGTCAGAGCAATCCATTAAGAACTGCTGAAAGCAGACCACCTACACACTGTTTCTGACAAAGAGGGGAAAAAGAGATATTTCAGTGTTGCAACAGTTCAAAAAAGAGTACTGTTAGCAAAAGATCTGTACGACTGCAATAGTTTCAGAGATTATTTTGAGAACTTTTGTCTTGAATTATAGGTGATAAAATGTATTAGGTTTTATACATGCTTCCTCATGGCCTTAGATACATAATGAAGTGCCCTTTAATGAGCTGTGATGTGGGTACTGTGGTGCTACAGCAAACCAGTCAAATAAAGCTTGCTGGCATGGAGAATAAACTGAAGGAAAGCTACTAATGAAACAACTGTGTTACCCTAGATGCTTCTACACAAGACATGAGATTAAGTCACTTTAATCCTGTGTCCAAAATACTCTATAAAAGCAAAAAGAAACAAAAAACTGTCTGACAGATTTTACTGTTCCTCTCAACAAGTGTAGTATGTAATCCAAACTTCTTAGTTACAGGAGAAGAATATGAGGGATGATTTAGAAAGGGGACAAACTCTTCCAGTTTTAATCCTCTGGCAGCTTTAGCAATGATGGGCAGACCTGACAAAACAGAAATGCATTGCGTTTTAAGCCTGACAAGGATGAACACAACTGGTAAACACCACCTACAAGATGTCCAAACCATTGGTATTGCAGAGTATGTCCCTGGTTCTGCACTGAAACAGAATCTCTTGTTTCATCCTCATAAAAGTAGTCTAAATAGTTTCTGAATGTAATAAACAGTACAAATAAAACCAGCACCTGGCATTTCCCTGGATAAACCAAAGAATTCGGCATACAGCATGATGGTGGTATTTTCATGGCACTGTTTCAGGCAAACAAAGCAGCATAACTTGCAACTTGCCCAGAAAATAAATGGCAGGTTTGCCAAGAAATGGTTAGTATTGCCGATGATAGACAAATTATTTTCTGTGAGCTCCTAGATTGTGGTTGTTACAATGTTGTATTCATAGGTATTGAAATAAAGGGAATTGGACTCAGGGGGCAGGTGGGAGAAAATGTTGTCTCACCATCTCAAAAATGACTGCCAGACCAAGACAGAAAATGAATTTTGCTAACTATCTGCACGCTAACTCACTTCTTGCACTGAATTTCTTGACCTCCAGCTCCCAAATTTATACCATATTCTTGCTTGTGGTTTTGAGGTCTGTTGTTACACTCATGACTTGGGAGGATAATCAGTAGTTCATTGTTGTGATTCACTATTTCAGCGCTGGTTATATTTCCTGGTTCATGTGTCGCCTTATTCTGTCAAAATAAACAGACTTTTGGCAATAGCTGTCTACACTGTGTGGTGTGATAGATCATCCTTACAGTGTGTTTTTTCAGTAGTAGAGAAATATCATGATGTTATGTATTTAAGTATGTTTATAAGTTAAGAAGATGATTCCACTGGTCTTGCAGATGTCAAGGATAAGTCATGCTGATATGGCTGGGATAAGAAACCCTCTGAGGCTTGGTCACAATTAATCCTCTTTGTATATTAGATGGTTTTGTGTTTCCTTTGGGATACTCTGAGCTGTGTTTTGAGGTGTAGTCTTTCTGCTTACTGTAGCTATTTGTATACAAATGCATCCCCATATGTTTTTCAGCCATAATGCTGGTATGTGCTCTTGATAGATCTTGGCAGCTGAGTATACAGGTCATAGCATATGTATGTGACAGGCCTATCTGAAGAAATAATCCATGTGCAGGTGACAAAGAAATGGGTTTTGAATAAGAAAATTCAACCTACTAGTTAAATGTTTTGTAAAATTGATATATTTTCAGTATGTAGCTATGTATATATAATATACATGGATATGTATTGGGCCATAAAAAGAAGTATTTTTCAAAATCAGGCCTTTCCTGCACTTACTAGCAGGCAGAATTTTTTTCACTAGTTTACAACACATATATCTGTCTCTGAGATGGTCGAATTAAGCTCCCTTTATTGTAATGGAGATTCAGTCAGGGCACTCAAGAGTGTAAGCAAAGATTCATCTCATCTTAAAAAAGTCACCTCAAACAGACTGGATCAGTTTGGTGCTAGAAATGCCTGCTTCTCTTAATTGACTAAAATAGGAGTTTCCAGGGATGAACTCAGTTGTGTCTAAAATGAGACAGGAGGAATCCCTGCCATATTGCTGACTTTGCTGCAGATTGCTGACTAAAATCTTCCATACGCAAATTTTAGGTCTAATTTTCTGCCGTACTGCCTGTTGAATAGTTATTTGTGCATGTGTAAAATGAGGCTAACTCACTACTGATTTTAAACAGAAGTTTTAACTGCTTAGGCACTTTATAACAAAAACCAGCCCTCATTTGATGCATTCAGTTCCTGTGAAAGGTAAAAGGCACTATACAGATTCAGGCCCACTGGTTCTTACTTGGGACCTCAGCTACAAAATAAGTATTTAACACGTAATTAGCATTGATTCCTGACCAGTGTCTTATGCTTTGCCAGTTCCCAGCCATCGGTGCTATGTTGGGAATGGCACGGAGTACAGAGGTACAGGAAGGATGACCATTTCTGGACACAACTGCTTGCCTTGGGATTCAGACTTGCTTTACCAAGAGCTTCATGTTGACAGCGTGGAGAAAGCAGTACAGCTTGGCTTGGGGCCGTTCTCTTATTGCAGGTGAGAAAAGTTCTCATTTGCACTGTCTTTGTAAAGCAAAAGATGGATGTACTGTGGAAGGGAGAAGAGTCAGGAATATCAGAGCAGGTGTTATCCCTGACTTAGAAGAGCGAGACTGACTTTAACAGCCTGACACAAGGGATGTAAGTGTACGGAAGACAAGATCTACTAGACAGGCTAGATCAATAGCTTCGTCTGCCAAATGAAGCTTAGACACAAAATAATGTTGGAAATTCCAGGTAATGTTTTTCTCTGGGATTTTTTTTTTTTTTTTTCAAAATGAGACCATAATAACTCCAGAAATGACTATCCAAAAAGACAAAGAAAGACACGAGGCAAATTGAAATGGTTAATTTTTGATTTCTAATTCTTAAATTGTGAAATATGTAACATAAAGGAAAATACTTTAAAAAGAGACAAGTTACTTGAAAATGAAAAATCAAAGCAATATACTTCAATAATCTTGACATGGAATGTCAAATTTATTTTGTGGATTACTTCCAAAGCAAAATTATTGCAAAACAAGATTTCACAGTGTTTCAATTTTGCTTGAAACACTGAAACAATAAACTACATTTCTGCTAAAGTTTTCTGTTCAGCAATAATGTAACTACCTTGTGGTATATATGTCTGTGCTTTCTCCTCGGCCACATTATGTTCCCCCTGTCTCTGAGTTCTTCATGAGATCAATGGATATCCACAAACAAAGGAAATGTTTCCATTTAGAGAGAATCCTGGTGGAGATGGGCAAATGCTAGAAATGGCAAACTTCAGATGCTTCTCCGTAAACCATGGTTTACTGGTTGATGTGTAGTGGTGCGGGTGTTGGTTTTGTTTTTTTTTTTAGTGGAAGTTATACCAGTATTTCAGGAAGATCAGAATATACTACACTTCCTAATTTGTTTGGTGATAAAAAGCATGCGTGCATGGCTGAGAGCTGCTCTTCTCTATCCGACACAAACTAACAAACAGTTCCTACACCCTCCCTTAATCCAGATCAGCTTGCTTTCCAAGGCTTGGTCCTGTTTCAAGCACTTACGTAAGAGATTTATGGTGCCCCAGCATGGCATTTTATTGGGCACATATTTTGTGCTTTGATAAAGCTTGATCCCTTCGATCTGCATCATTTAAGCACAATATTCACTTGCAGATTTGAAATGCAAAGAATAAAATGGTGTAGGAGCTGATGTGTTCATGTTCTGTAGAGCTGAGAAAAAAGCTTTTCACTTTTTTGGCAGCTTGTTACAATTTCTGGGGATATCTCTGCTACACTATATAATCCTGCAGATAGCTGCTTCTTCAAATAGTCTAATTTAGAAACATTGTTGGCGGAAGATGACTCAACCTGTGTTGCTTCTTCAGTTCTGAGAATTTGAAAGTGCTTTAATCTTTTTCTGAAGACCAGTCAGATTAAAAAGAAAAAAATACGGAAGAACCTTACGGTAATAGATAGTGCTTCTGCTAAATCCATCTGAAATTAGAATTACTGATTATCTGGAGCCCTGAATGGCCTCGTCTATTTTTCTTTACCTACTGAATATCTTTTTGGGTCTTCAAATTTTAACTATATTCTTGGAGGAGTTAACTGGACAAATTTCTGCTTACATTTATGGCATTGATAAAGACAATTAGGCTGTACCATGGAGAAACCCTAATGAAATCAAACCAAAACCTGTTTAACACCAAGGGAACAAAGTGCGAAGCTGTTTCTGGTATTCCTTTTTTCCCCTGCTTTAGAGGACTACAATATTTTCTTGGGGTAGTCTTTCTTTTCCTCAGACTCTCCAGGGAATGTGAACCTGAGCTTCTCAAATACTCTTTTCTTTTTTTTTTTTTTTGCTAGCTATTCTTGTTATGGATTTTCTATGAATCTACCTGTGTTGGAATTTCCTTGCTCAAAAGAATCTCTCCCATGGGATTTTGTCTTGAAAATAGCTGAGCTGATATCTGTTAAAACACTTCAGTGTGGGCTGTATTTAAACCATGTGAACATGCTCATGCATCCAAATACTTGTAGGCAAATTTTACAGGTGTTTAGTCATGTGTCTGTATTTCAGGTCCTAGAGAACCTTAGACTTGGTTAGCTTTGATCACAAAGAACGCTACGGAAAGGCTGCTCACCCATTTAAGGGTTAGCAGGTGCTTCAGTGCTTTGTCAGATGGCCCAAAACTCGAGAGTCCTGTCAGTCCTCTGCATGATGCAGAGCAAAAACCAGAAAACCTCTGGGGAGCTTGGAACAATGATGTGGCTAATGCTTGTAATTCACTCTCCCCCTCAATTAATTAGAAATCCAGATGATGATGAGAAACCATGGTGTTACATCATGAAGGATAACAGTTTGTCTTGGGAGTATTGCGATGTTCCATCTTGTGGTATGTAAAGGCTCTCTTAAAATCTTTGTTGTGAATGAATGAAGAAAGATTTATTGATACTAGAACAAGCTTTCACTGTTCATAATTTTGAATGTTCTACTGTTTCCAGGAATGTTGAATATTTTACTGTTTGCAATACATCAAATGACAACAACAAGCTGCTTCTGCATTTTTTGGAGTTGTGATACAATCTGTGATTTTTGTCCTGAAATTCTGTATGACAGTGGTGTCACAGTACTGCTTTCTGTCAAAATCATCCCAGTGTCACCAAATTTTCTGCTAGAAGATACAAGACGTCACAAATGATTGATGCTTTGTCATCACTCAGTGAATTACAGACCCAGAGAAATGAATGGGCCTCTGAGCAAATAGAGGGCTGGTTCCTGAAGATGTATGAGACATAGTATTTATTTCCAAAAACTGAGGTATCTGCTCTTCACCTAAATGAATATTGTTGTTAACGTTGAAGATGACTTTTAGAACGGAGTTGTAATCTGAAAAGTCAGTTTATAAAGTTGTCCTTTTATTCCCCTTTTACAGTTTTAATACATTTGATGATATTAAGTGTCTTAGTCCTTGCCATTGCAATGGCAAAGCTCAGTCGAGAATCTGTAAAAGAAGATGTGATGTCTCATGCATTCTGATGTGTCTCCTCTGGTAATGGAGGTTATATTTGTACTGGTAAATAACACAGTGTCCAGCAATGTTCACAGGTAGATTTCATTTACACTTAGTACATGTGTAGCCAGTGTTGGGAACAGGCATAGCTTTCTGTCTTGCAAGTATCCTGAGTAACTGAATGAGGCTCAGTTGTATGTCATTGTTTATGATAATTTAACAAACCTTTCTTTTAAAGACTCCTATGAAAGTTCCAGTTCTTAGAAATCACAAGAATTCATAGTCTGATGCCATATCCCTTTATATCTCAGCAAGCAGAGAAAGGAGGCCACCAGTTCCAGACAAGGTAGAGAGTTTTGCAGTTACCAGAAGACCATGTGGGAGAAGACACAAAAAAAGAAGTTTTTTGAGACCTAGGATTGTTGGGGGATCCGCATCTCTGCCTGGATCTCATCCCTGGACAGCAGCAATATACATTGGAGAGAGTTTCTGTGGTGGAAGCCTTATTCAAACTTGCTGGGTTGTGTCAGCAGCACACTGCTTTGCTAACAGGTAAACTCACCCGTTAGTCTGACAGTAGGTCATCCTCTCCTCTTCTTAGTCACTGTCTATTTGTGACTCACAACAAACCTGAACTGAAACAAGTGAGAAAGAAGGTGAGATTATAAAAGACCAGTGTTTCAAAAGGAGTTTCCAACAGTTTGAGTGAAGTTCATGGGCCAGCAATAAGTTTGGGGTCCTGTATCTCAAAAGCCCTTATCTTGTTCCTTAAGGAGTCTTAGAGAAGGTAAATGACCCAACTGAACAGGACATAGAATGGGAGCTTGCCTGTGCAGGCGACTGCAAGGGGATATAAGTATTCATCATCTTCTCAGTTACCTTTTTGAAGATTTTTGCCTGCTTTGAAGTGTAGCACAGATGACTATGCTTGTTGCCGTGTTTTATTCAAAAAGGCTGAGGCAGCCAAGGAATGATTTATTAGATACAATAAGTTATCGTTGGTTGACACAAATAGAGTAGGCAGAGATTTGCAAAAAGCCAAAGGGAAGAACTGAACTGCTGTTACATTTTTGAGGCTGAATTCCTTGAGGGGTATTTTTGGGTTTTTTGAGTTTTTATGTCCTCCAGCTGTGGGACACTGGAGAAAGTATTGACTATAGGATGCTCTTATTCATTCTAAATATTTCATTTTCCACAAATGCTGGACACTTTCCCTGATTTCAATATAATCACACTGATGGTAAAAATATTACATCATTTCATGCCCATTGTTCCTTTGCATAGTAAAGAAGCCAAGAGAAACAGAAAACCTTGTGCCAGCATGCATACACTGATAGCTTGTAGAGCTAATAATACCATTGTGAATTCTGTACTGAAGCATTTGGAGCTCGAGCCGCAACGCATTTGTTTTTCAAATGTTGTGAAATAGCTACTAACTTTGGCAGCTATTCAGGACATTTCCACCCACTTCCAGCTGGTGGTTTAGTACATACAGATTTTCCATAATTGCTGCATTGTAATTTGCACTCTTCCGTATGTTTAGTACCTCTGTGTTAGCCAAAATTTCAACTGTTTTCCACTAGGCGACAATAGATACCTGTGCAGCTAACTTGTGTGGTGGTTTTTTGGTTTTTTTTTTTTTTTTTTTTCTGTAACCCCTTCCATTTTATTTCTTTTCCTGAATGAACCACCTGTAAGCCATAGTAGAACCATTCAGTACTTCGAAAACCTATTCTAAATACTGTCCTGGGAAGTAAACTTCCACTCTGTTTTACAGGCCCAAAATCTGATTTATCAAGTGGGTTGGTTTACCGCTGCAAGAACAGGGAGAAAATCCTGGCCTTACATATCAATCAAAGAGTATTTTATTGTCTTCTTGGTTTACAGTCAGAGAAAGATAAACTTTGTGCTTTTCCTTGTTGATTATAAGCACAGTTATTGTTGCAGGGCAGCTGCTGGCTCTCCGCACTGCAATCGCTTAAAATCTCTTTCTTCTAAGTACGTTACTGTTGCTCATTGCTTCGTGTGCTCAGTCCTGGAGGGGACTCCACAGTGCTTTTGTGTCTGACAGGCGTTACTGATGCACCGGAACACAACTAGGGAAACTTTGCAATGATGTTGACCACTCTGCAGCTGTGCATGGTGTGTAGTAGCAGATATTTCCTCCTCCTGCACTGGATACCAAAACATATGAGTGCTCCCATGTTGAATAGGCTTGCTAACTAAATTAATTGTAGACTTACACACACACAGACCAAAATGGTTTTAAAGCAAGAGTGAAATGTTAATTTAGTTGCTTTTAAAGCTAGACAACTTACTGTCTTTCCAAGCGCTTCCTGATTATTCCCAAATGTGTCTTCCCAACTGTTGTACTGGTCCTTATTAGTTGTTTGTTTTAGGACACTGGATATGAGAGGACTGTGGTCTTTTTAAAGTAAACAATCAGAGACTGTAAAAGATGGTGTGAATTACAAAAACAGTGTTCTCTTCTAAGTGTGGTTTTATCCCATTATATCAATATGCTGTTGGGACCTTCCTCCACCAAGTTGCTTTTGATTCTTGACAACAGATTTAACATAGATCAGTTTAATCTCAGAGCAAAAGTGGTGATAGCTTTTAGGTGGAAGCTGCCCAGGTGTTCCTGAGTTGTCAGTTTGCCAACACCTTGTCATGGTTTAACCCCAGATGACAACTAAACACCACACGGTCACTCACTCCCTCCTCCCCAGTGGGATAGGGGAGAAACTCAGGAGAGTAAAAGTGAAAAAACTCATGGCTCGAGATAAGAGCAGTTTAATAATTGCAATGTAAAAATAATGCTGCTGCTGCTGACGCTAAAAGAATATACAAAATGAGAGATGCACGATGCAATTTCTCATCACCCATTGACCAATGCTCAGCCAGTCCTCAAGCAGCAGCCCCCAGCCAGCTTTCCCCTAGTTTATATACTGAGCATGATGTCATATGATATGGAATATCCCTTTGTACATCTCCAGCCTTCTCAATCGGTAGAGCATAAGAAGCTGAAAAGTCTTTGACTTAGTTGTTGCTACATAGTGCTTACACTAAAACATCAGTGTGTTATCAACATTGTTCTCATCCTAAATCCAAAACACATCACTATACCAGCTGCTAGTAGGAGAAATTAACTCTGTCCCAGCTGAAAATAGGACACATCTTTAAAATCTTGACCCACACCTGTAATATTTTTAAGAGCCTGGTTTCCCAGACAGATGAAATATCCACCACTGACCCATCTTTTGGACTCTCATTTCTTCCTCAGTAATTTTTGTACTCATTGGTAAAGTCTGGTTGAAGTTGACTTAGTTAAGTTTCTAGGACAAGAATTGCTTTCAGTCCCTGGAGATGCTTTTTAGCCAGACAACAACTGGTCAGCAGTGTAGGTACTTGCCATTTACATCTGTCAAGAAGCAGCAGCCTTTAATTAGGCTAATCAGGAGCCACACAGCCTAGACTTGCTGTAACATTAGTCATCTTTTTCCTGGCTCACCGTAGGTAGGAAGCCTGTGGAACAGGTCAAGGCATTATGAGAGGATAAATAATGGACGTGGTGGGCAGCTGATGTTATTGCAGTTAATGGGACACACAGCCGCTGGAAATTAGGATTTGTTTGACCTGGTAATTACAGAATTGCTTGTTCTCCTTTTTGTATTACAGTCCACTAAAATCGACTATTACAGTAGTTCTGGGTCAGCATATATTTAATAAAACAACTGATGTAACACAAACATTTGAGATAGAGAAATACATCTTGCATCCTGAGTATTCTGTGTTCAATCCTACTGAACATGATATCGGTGAGTATTTTTGTTCTTAACGTTTTGTTTTGTTTACTCAAGTTAGTTTCAAGTTGAGTTGATCTGTCAAAAACTGACTTCATAGTGGAAAAAATCATAGGCATTAGGAGAAGCTTTTAGGCACAGAGGGTTCCTAGTTGTACCAGAGCTAGCAGCATCTGAAAGCTAGACAAATTCAGATAAGAAATAAATTGCAAATTTTAAATAATTATGATAATTAGCCCTTGGAGCAATTTACCTAAAAGTATGGCAGATTCATCATCACTTCAAGTCTTTGTGGGATTAGGCATTTTTTTCAACTGAACCAGAAACTGTGGGCTTGATGCAGGAATTACTCGGTAAAATTCTATTGTCTGTATTGTATAGAGGAACTGACTAGATGAATATAATAGCCTTATCTGATCCAAAAATCTATGTTGCTAAGAATCATTTTTTCACTGAGATAGCTTTAAAAATCAGCTATCTTATCAGTCAAAAGTTAAATGCCCTTTTGATTGACCTTATAATTAGAATCAGAATGACAATGGAACAGCAACTCACTTCATATTTTCTGATCTGCTCTTGTGGAAGGTGGCACATCACCCCAGGGTATCAAACTGTGTGAGTATTCCCTGCCATTAGGGATATTTTAGGTCACTCATGTAGTGGCTTTTTTCTCCCAGATAGGAAATATTTTCCACAACGTAACAAAAAGCATTCAGATTCTGTGATTGATGGGAGCAATCACAGCATACCAGGAGATGAACTGGATTTGGGGTATTACACTTCTCTGAAATATCCTGGTGTAAACTACTGTTGACACTTTGAGATCTCCTAACTTGTTGATTGTTTCTGAAATTTAGCATGTCTCACTGAAGTGCAATATCAGAATCTAGGGTCAGCTGATGTACCCCACTGCCAACAAACAAGCAGACAGAAACAGGGTGGGGAAAGATATGGGGCCACATTCTGCCCTGTCAGTGAATTCTACTGATGCAGCAACAGAGTTATTTCCTGCTGAAAGCAACAAACTACCACAGGAGTGTTCACTGGGAAATTCAGGGGATTCAGAAACATGCAGATTTGGTGAGGAAGAGAAGGAAGGAGAGGAAGAGCAAGTTGGTGTGTGTTGGAGGGTGGTTTGTGTGGGCTCCTCAGCTAGTGAGATGCTCTTTACCTGTTCCACAAAAACATAAAATGTTCTCAGTAGAGAAATAGGACTGTTCAGTGGGATCTCTTGCTTCCCACACATCTGGGCTCAGAAAACCTGGAGCTTCCAAAAGGTGTGATGTGAAGCTTTAATAGGTGTGTCCACATTACTCTGACCTCTGTGAGTAGTGTGCCCAATTTCAACGTGCTGCCCTTGTCACACCAAGCATAAAACCCCCTTGGCTGCTCTACAGCCAGAGACAGGGGGTGGTTGCTACAGGGGAACTGATGTTTCTGCCACTTTTAACATCTTTTGGTATCGAGCTCATGATGCTGCAAAGCTCCGTATTTATGCTGTTTTCAGCCCCATGAGGGGATAGAAAAGGTTGTGTAGGTTGTATAATTCTTTGTAGCTTTCAGAAGCTTACTTTTGAAATATCCTGCTTTTTTCTTCCTTAATTTTCAAGATCTTGAATTTTGCTGAACTCAGTGATAACACAGGGCATGAAATACATCAGATCTTGCAGTAATTAATTTTTTAAATCAAATTGGAATTAGGCAGGTGGCCAGACTCTCAGAATCAGTAAGCGCTTGCACATCCCACTTATTTCAGCTGAAAGTTGTGGATATGCCACTGTTATTTAACTTCAAGGTGGGAGGAGACATGTATTTTCTATCTTCCCCCTTCTCCACAAAGGCAATGAAGCGAAATCTGCTCAGTGAGTGCAGCATAAAATAAATATTCCCACAAGGGAAGTAGCTGAATGTTTCAGCCTTCAATTTGCTGTGAAATCAGGTGCTGTTGAGATGAGCCTGTCTGTCTTTGATTGAAATATCTTAATTAAGAGAGGCTTAGGGGATAATTAAAGTTGTATCTGAGACTCATTGCTGCCAATCCCATTAAAGAAAGGGAACAGTCACTTTATTCCTCCTATATTATCTGTTCTGCAGCTTTGATTAAGCTGAAGAAGAATGGCCAGCGTTGTGCCGTCAAGTCCCAGTTTGTTCAGCCCATCTGCTTGCCGGAAAGTAACACCGTTTTCCCTGATCAGTTCAAATGTCAGATTTCTGGATGGGGACACAGGCATGAGAGTGAGTAAAATGAGAGTTGGTGTCTGTAGGAAAAAATTATGATAATTAAAACATGATGCTGTAACATATGTTATACAACTGATAGTTTGGTAAAATATTTTCCAGCGGACTTCTGATGTGATTTCTTTTATTACCTTTAGATGTTTACAACATTTACATTTGAAATAATCATCCTGAACTTCCTTTATAGTCCTTAAATTTGGAGCGTGGTTGCCTTGATCAAATGTTTGTGTCTATTTTAGGATGAGATGAGCTGTGAGCCAGCTAGATCTCCATGGACTGGGAGGGAAGCAAGTAGCTTAGTTGTAGGTGCCAACAACTTGACATCTTAGTCGAGTGAATCCTACCCCTGGTTTCTCAAGGTAGATATCAAAGGCTTGCAAACAAAACAATCAACTTACTAGTCTGTCATGGAGGAGACCTTTACTTTCACCAGCAAGAAACTTTGGAAATATCTACAGGAGAAGGCTAGATAGACTTTGGGCTAAGAAGTGCTTACCTCCAGCTTGAAAAGGGTGGAAAGATCCATCTCATCCTTTCAAATGAGGAATTTCATGCAGCTTTGATGTGGAGATAGCGGAGACCTATGTAGATAGATGTGAAAGATAGGGGGAGCTGGCTGCCTCATTTTGATAAGAGATTTAGTATAAGCAAATGTTGTCCTGGTCTAAATGTGTAGGCTAAAAGCAAAATGAGGTAATGGAGCCTTCAGTAAATTGATGATTTAATCTCATGTCTGGAAAGAGGAGAGGACAGAAATGCTGGAGGAGTGTTCCGGAGCCTCTAAGAAATGAAAGAACCTAAAGTGGATTAATGTCTGGACATGGCATACTGTTATTTTAAAGGGCATGGAGTCTGACTGGAGGAGCAGAAAGTGGTCTGATCACTAGATAAATTATTATCTTTTAAAGAGATCCAGAACATGAATAAGAGAGAGATGTGTGTTTATATGTGGTACTGTGCATTGTGTTTCCATGTTACGCTCTTCATGTTCTATAAAAATGACTTTCTTTTCCTCTCTGGGAATTTTTTAAAGATCTCTCTGGTTATTCAAATGTCCTGCAAGAAACACTGATTCCAGTTATTCCTGAGGAGAAGTGCAGAAGCTCTGAAATTTATGGTACAGAAATCACTGAAAATATGTTCTGTGCTGGCTACTTCGATAGCAGATCTGATGCTTGTCAGGTAATGTTGTGAGTCATCTCTAGGCAGAGAATACAAATCTATATTATTGCCAGATATGTTGCAGTGCTACGGTGCTTACTTTTGACATTACAGTGTTCTTAAAGAAAAGAAACATTCCTAAAGAAAAGAAACTTAGGTGACTGCACTGTTGGGATCCACCTTCAGATTTTAACCTATTCAATGTCTTTAAATTCTGCAGAAGGGCAAAAAAACCTCCAGGGTGTTGTATTCCTTCTACCTTCATAAAAGGCATTGGCTATGCACTGGAGGGTGAGGTGCTCTATCTCCTGGCTGAGCGCGCAGTGTGATGGCAACGCTCTGCTGGCCAGCTGGCAGGGGTGTACTGGCAGGGCAGCCAGCACGCACCTGTGTGGAGCCAAATCCCGAGCTGCTGCCTCTTGCCTGAATGGAAATAAGGATACCTGGGTAGGAGGTGGGAAGTGGTGGTGAGGTTTGGAGGAGGAAGGGGCTGAGTTTATTATATTGGATGGGCTTTAACACTGTGGAGTATCAGTCAATTGAAAACCGTGTTTCATGAAATCTGTCCTTCGTGGAATGACCTCATGTGCTTACTGCTTTGTATCTCTTTTTGAATTATGTCACACATTGGCCTTGAATAAGGACACAGAACTGTTGTGGTGATAGATGGGTCTATTTTTTTAAATGGAAGATCAGATTATTCCTTACATAAACCTTCAGATTTTATCTTCAGGTCATCTTGAAGGAGGAGAGATATGCTCTATTGACATAAATTTGGGCTCAGGCAGCACATATAGCTAATAGTTGACAGTGAAATTAAGTAAAGTGGACAATATCATACATACTGTGTACTGGAACCCCTATAGTGATCCTAAAAGTCCCCAAAGAAAGGTGTCAAGAGGGAAATGGCCAGCAGTGGCTTGGTGTTTCCAGACCAGGGCTGAGAACTGATTGTAGTTATTGGCTACAAGTGTCCATGCCAGCCCAAGAACTGGAAACTACTTCCTCAGTTTGCATTGCCTTACCCAAGAAGTACAAATACAAGATGCAGCATTATCATAGAACCATGGAATGGTTTGTGTTGGGAGGGACCTTAAAGACCGTCTAGTTCCAACCCCCCTGCCATGGGCATGGACACCCTCCACTAGACCAGGTTGCTCAAAGCCTCATCCAGCCTGGCCTTGAACATTTCCAGGGATGGGACATCCACAACTTCTCTGGGAAACCTGTTCCTGTGCCTCACCACCCGCTTGGCTCTTGCTCCCAGCTCTGGAAAAACAGGGTTAGTCAGGAGTGAGAGGGAGAAAGAAAGCAGAGGGAAGGATGGAGCAGCTGCACAAAGACAAATAAATGGTCTGGAGAGAGTTGCAAAGTCTGAGAAATGGTGATTTAGGGTCACAGGCATTGATTAAGAACAGTGCTCATTGCATGAAATCATTATTAGTGAATCAATATTTTTTTTTTTCCTGTTTGCAGCCTTGTGTGCTCTAAAGAGAAATAGTGTACACCTCTTAACGTCACAACAAATGTAGCTGACCTCTGAGTTTTCTTAATGTATGATTAGGAAATTAAACTATAAACCATCTGTTATGTATAAAAATATTTCAAGACCAAGAAGATAAAGTGTTCCACTTGAATATTTTTTTAAAGATTTTCTTAGAAACTCTTTTTTTTTTTTTTAATCCATGCACTGATACCAAAACTGCAATCAATGAGATGAGTTGTGGAGAAATAAGCAAGGTTCTGAAAAGTAAATTGGTCTCAGATGCAAGGCTTCATTTTATGTCCCTCAGTTAGCACAGAAATCTTATTCTATAAAGGCAACACTTTTTTCCTCCCCACTTTGTTCTCAAGGAATTTTCTTTTCAAATAGGAAAAAGTATACTTCTCCTTCATCTCAAACAACTAAGTCACTAAGTTTAATAGCTAAAAGTAAATCTTAAATAACTCAGTTTATTAAGTCAATTTTCATTTCTAAAATTTTCATTTCATTAGAAAGTCTGTCTAAGAGTAATAACAATAAAACCCCCTGTCCTGAATGCTTGCAAGCTTTTAAATATGTAGAAGGGTTCCAAATTCATCCTTGCTGTAGTGTGTCATCAAACACCAGTTTCGTCTTATTTTCAGTTTATGGTTTTAATGACAAAGTAATTGCTCGGTAGAATCAAATTCAACAGACGCAAAAAACCCATATGTCACATAAAATTATAGCACATGGAAAAGTGTGTATGCATGCAACACCTTTCTTTGAAAACTTTCATGATCTCTGACAGTTGCAATAAACTGCATTGAGAAATTCTCCAAATAATCTCTGCCTGCCTTATGTAACCTATCCATGCAGTGCCCATATTACAACATGGTGTAAGTTCAATGACTTGTTTACTCCCATTGAACATCTTCAGGCTTCAGAAATTCTAAAAGAATTTCAGATTTTTAAATAAAATCTGATATTCTGATACTTTTGTTCAATGTGGAACTAAAAAAAAGGCAACCCACTCTCATATTAGAGGTGAATATGACTAAATAAACTTTTAATAATGAAAATTCTATAGACTGCTGCTTCCATGTTACATTTTTAGTTTAAATCTCATATGCAAACATTCTTAATTTAGGACTTTTCCAAACTGATCTTTTCCCGACTGCTTTCCATCAATTAGATAATCTTTGCTTACTTTTAATACAGGGAGATTCTGGTGGACCTCTGGCCTGTGAGGAAGAGGAGATCTCTTACCTTTATGGCATTATCAGCTGGGGAGATGGCTGTGGCAGAGTCAACAAACCTGGAGTATATACACGAGTGACAAACTATGTAAACTGGATTAATGAGAAAATAGCCCCCCGAAAAGCCAGTTGAACAGTTAAATATGGTAACATTTGAAACAAGGTTCAGGTGTCTTTTGTTATCATTAAAGTGGCATAATATTTTGTTATAGTATGAAAACTGTCCTGGTAATTCTTAACAGTTCCAAACCAGACCACCAAAAGTGGGCTTACTCCGTCTGGTGTCAGCATTCTTGATCCAGAATTTTAGGGCTGTGGATTGCTCAATATACGAGACCGCCTTTATTTAGATTAACAAAACATACACGTTTAGACAGTGCACCAAAATCTACAACTGCTTGGTAGATTACATAAAAAGCGATTTGAATGTGTTTGGGTAGTTTCTGGTGGAGCTGTCATCAACCAAACCAACGTGTAACAACATTGTCCTTCTATTCTCAGATGAGATAAAAAAAAAAAATAAACAGGAGAAGCACCAAAAATTAAATTCCCTCCCCCTCAGAAGTGATCTCATGAAGTTCAGATTAAGAGACACCAGTAGAACAAGGTGAGTGAAACTGCTCCTCAGCAAACCACAGATAACCCGTTCTGGGGAAAAATCAGAGGGTTTAGGTTTTGATTCAACCGAACACATAAGCACATTTTTACGTTCCCCTGACATAAAATCAGGAACGTTGTTCAGAGCTCTGCTGAATCTGGTGTGCAATTTACCAGCAAGGTTGATGCAAAACCTCGAGAGCACAAAATTTCTTGCTGAGAAATGTTAGAAGTCAGTGTCTCTGACTTCAGGCCGATGCAGTTAGGACCTTTTGCAGTCTGTGAGCTGCTCCTCACCCTGGAAATAGCAGTGGAAATTCACCTTCATGACAAAAGCCCAAGCGTTTCTTAAATTTGACAGTGTTTTGATGATGTCTCAGATTTTGTACTAACAATTGTTCAACTGTTTAGATAATTCAGAAAGGAGGTTTCTGTTAATGGATTTTTAAACTGGATGTCTTGGGGAGCAACTTGACATTTTCCTTGGGAATTTGGTGGTATCATAAACCACAGGCTTTTCTGTCATGGTCTGTGGAATTGTTATGGGAACAAAATCAAAGGAATTATTACAACATTTAGCTGTTTAGAGGCTGAGGACTCAGCTGTGTAAGCAAAAAAGGCAGAAAATAGTTCAACAAAAAAAATCTAGTCTGATAAAGAATGGAAAATTGCAAATTTTTTTTTTAAATACAGGGAACTTTTAGCCATGTCAGATGTGTACATTTGGAAGTGTTAGTGTGAAATGTGTTTCTTCTGATAGTGAACATTTTGGAATTCTCTTAAGTATTTCAAGCAAAGCTATGCTTTAAGGTATAGAATTCTAAAGTGGTGCCTCGATATGCAGATGTGTCTTTTGTTTTATAGTACTGGCAGTGTCTTCATGGGTTTCTTAGTTGTGGTGAATGATTTAGTGGTGAAAAGACACCTTGTAAGGAAAAATAACCTAAACCTGAATTTGTGTGAGTACAAATATATTACAGTGCTAATATAGATGAATGATGTAATCTGTTCAATAAAAACATTTACCCTCTCTTTCTTGGACTTAGTTTGTTATGTATAAAGTTACAATTAAATTTTTGAATCCCCCTGTAGGTTGTTCAACAGCTTGGGAGCTGGTAGGAACATGAAAAATAACACTTCTCTGTGCTGGAAGGCATCTGAAAAGCTCTGCATAGGGATGAGTTTCAGCTGATGGTGCTCCCAGTTTTATGCAAGTGTCACACAGAATTTCCAGTAGACAGATGTAAGAGCTTAGGTATGATTTCCAGCTATAAATACTGTGAATACTGAGATAAAAATCTTCAGTGTGTTTTTCTGAAGCACTAAAACACTAGCTTGAAAAATTGAGATCCACCTTTGTGGTCTGATTCCAAAAAAAGCTCTTATTGCCTGGGTTTGCTTTCCTGGCCACTTGCAGTACAAGCCGGGCTTGCTTAACTCCATGAACTGAATGTGACTGTGCAACAAGGCTAACTGTACCTGCTGCTTGAAGATGAGTACTAAATCAGCATGAAGGAACTAGTTACTCTTCTTTGGAAGGGATTCATCTGGAACAGTTTTCTGACCAAAGCCTATGCCATTCTGAACATCCATATCTGTTCTGTCTCTTCAGTTTCACTTTGAAATTAATATCCGTCCACACTGTGCATGATTTTAACCTGGTAGTTTATATTTTCTCAGTCTTCTTTTGCTGTAAAGAAGGTGGCTGTTTGATAGGAAAGGTATTAGGCTAGTGTTTCTGAGAATTTTTGTGGATCTTCTTAGCTGTCACGTTTTAAAAATGTATTTTTTAAAATACATTGAATTTCTGCCCTCAAATATCTAAATGATGAATCTTCAGTTGATTCTGTCATACTTTGGATGCACTAAAATGAGTGTGTGTCTTCCAAATCAGCCTGTTTGTCCGCTGTTACTGCATTGATTTGGTGGAACCAAATTTCAGCGTTTGAGGATCTGCTGGAGGGTGACTAGCCCTGTATTAAATCTGCAAACGCAGACCAGGGGTGGCAAGAAAATGTTCAGGTTAAGCGAGAGGTCCTTGTCTGACCTCTCACAGCCCCAACACGGGTCACATCCCCATGGGGCACTTCAGCACCTTCTGCCTCCTGCCTTTCTGTTGAGCATTACCCCATGGAAACTCATCCTCCATATTTCCCCCCTCTCTTTAAGCACTTATCACTTCAGTTAAAATGAAAATCCAACATAAGTTTACTGGTGAAATTTTATCTGATATTTTTCCTAACACTTATCTTGAAATTGAATTAGAATGCAAAGCCAGTTGAACAAACACATCCCTAATTCATTATGAAACACACTTAAAGATGGTCTTATTAAATTACATGTTATTCTACACAAACTGACCAATTCAAAGGGAAGAAATAAATGCAAACATCTAAAAACCCCCTTCTATTATGCTATTGAAAGAAAAATGTGCTGTGGTGCTCTTTAAAAAAAAAGCTGAGGAACTAATTACCACCAAATAAGATGCAGTAGGAGTATTTTTAGAATAATGGACTCTAATTAGTCCATTGCTCGTTGAAATAAATCTGAGGACATCATTAACATTCTATTAATTGTAGCTGCTCTGGGTTTGGTGTAAGTGGGTTGTTATCTCGTGACAGTTGCATTGCAAAGGAGAAAAAAGAAACAGTATTTTTATCTGGGGCAGTTGGCTGTACGTCTGCCGGGAGCCAAGGGGAGCGCTAATTACACTTTTCAAAAGAGAAATTTGGGCGTTGTGAGGAAGCTGCTGGTTCGGGGGCGCAGGGAAGGGCGCCAGGCCCCCGCTCCCCGGAGACGGGGCGAAGGAAATCCGGTCCGGGTTTTCCCGCCGCCCCCGGGCGCAGGGCTGCCGAGCGGTCAGCGGCAAAGCCCGGAGCGGGATTG